AGTGCTTGGCTTGGAAACCAAGATGAAACGCAGGGTGAGGTGAGATGGGAAACCGGATGGGCCACACAGGAGGAGCAGCCGCAGATACGATACAGTTACAAACTCATTTGCCACCGGCCCAGACTTGTGAAGGCTCACGTTTAGGCGGGCGTAGGTGCTGCAGAGCCCCCATTCAGCCGCTCGCCCAAGATGTACCTGCGATGTGCGCTGTGTGGTTGCGAGGTCGGAAACGAGGGTGGAGGGGCGGCGGGCGAGGCACCATGACTGACGGTCCCCGTTGCGTACGCATGTTCTTGGCAGTGCCTGATTATCAAGCGGCAGAGCTCCATACGGGCGCTCAGCTGGGCAAGGGAAATGGCTTGCTGGCTGGCTCAGAAGAGGTTTGTTGGTTGGGTGGAGTCCGACGTAGAAAAATGGTTGGCGATGCTGGACGCGTCGGCGTGCTTAATTTGGAAATACTCGACGGGCTGTTGGTTGGTCCTGTCTTCCAAACGGGAAGGGCATGCGTCACGTAGTTCGGTGCGTTGCAAAAAGAGGAAACAGCTGTTGGTTGCAAAAAGGAACCCGGCGAAATATAGAGGTTTTCAGACAAGGCTGGACTTGGGCTAGATGCCAGGCTATTGGGCCTTGGCCGCATCCCCAGAGACCTCGAGATCGAGTCGCGCGCTACATAAAACACCAGTTGAGCGGACGGCGGCTGATTGACTGGCGCAGAGAACACCGGCAGTAAATGCGGCCCGCACTGCGACCGGAGAATATGGATGCTAAAAAAACCAAAGAGGGTTGAGATAGTAAAAGAGGGTGTAATTGAGGCTCACTCTCGATGCAATTTCCTTTTTCGCCATTGTCAGCAAGAAGCGTCACTGCGCATGTGCAGTGAAGTAAATCAAGACCGCACCGCCACGAGCCCCGTGTGGCGTGAGGCCTCTTTCCCATGGAACTTTGCCCATGGCCAGGGGTGTGAATCTGCCTTATGCCACAGCCGTAGGGCTGACTGCGGTTCTAGCCACACCTCGATTAGATAATACAGTGCGGACGGACTGAGACCAACACTGCTGGTAGCCCTACTAATAGACGTTCCATACATAGCATCACTAGCCTGTAGCAGGTTTCTGGTGGCCGAACCCCCTGTTGATAAATCCCGACCCGGCAAGATTGGTAATGGAGGACGTAAAATCAATCAAGTGAGCTCTGAAAACTTTCTCATTAGGCCGGTGTGCCTGTAAATCAGTCAATACTGTCATCTAAGTTGAGAGATCAGGAATTCAGCATGAGAATCGTTGAAGTGGAAAAAGCCCCCACACATATTGTACCTGGGTACCAGGTGTAGGTAGATGCAGTGGGACGACCTTCCTTATGCGACTGCCTGTCATCAACCAAAGCCAAACTCTAGGTATGTGCCGGCCCTTGAGAGGTGTCCGGGGACTTTGGCCATACTCTGGAGCCTACGACAACCTTGTGGTGATGATGGCCACGAGCCAATGGAGAAGAGAGAGTGGGGATGCACCCAATTCCGATTGCGGATGCTTCTGGCTGGGCTGACCATCCCTGGTACCTGTATTGTCGTCGTGCCGTCCCTCTGGCCGCGCCCGACTGGGCAATTCTCCCAGATCATGTACATATGCACATACATACAGGTACGTACGTGGTGCATTGTTGGGTGCCCCGCTGTTCTACGTACCACCAAAATTGAGCTGAAGGCTAATTACCTCTCTGACATGCTCGCGTCCTTCACAGGCAGCAGCACGCCCAGGACCCTTTGTTGCGGGTGAAGTACGTTGTATCAGGGACGCGGTGGTGAATGAGGTGGCGAAACGGCTGGACGAACTAAGCGTCAGAATCAGTTCCTTACTGGGTAGCTAGCACCTGGATGCCTGCAAGTCACGATCACTTCGATTTCGAAGGGTGATCCGCCATCTAGCTAGGCTCAGTGGGCCGGTTCATGGGAGACACCAGGCGGCCACTCATCGCACTGCTTCGCTCTCTGAGGCAAGCAAGGCCAGAGAAAAGGGCTGAGTCTGAATGGTTGAGCCGGGCCCGCCAGCTGGAAAAACCCATGACGTACAGGGAGGGCCCCTTCTTTGAAAGGGCGCGCGGGAGTAGCCATTGCGCACAGCCCCAGAACTACTTATGTTACCTGAACTGGCAATTGAACATTTGTGGCGGCCCTAGTCGCCGTTGCATTGGTCACGTAGACGCACACCAGCCACATTTTGGTGGACTTCCCATGGAGAAGCGCGGCAAAAGTACAAGGCCTGTGCTCAATTGAGGGCCTTGAGTGATGGGCTGGATCTAGCATCCACTTTCTGGGCAGGATCCCCACAAACTTTCAGGCAGCACAGCCCACCCTTCCCTGTGAAGGGACCACACCTTGATGATGGCCCTAATCCGCCGATTGGCAAATGGTAGGCATCAATGTCGCTTACTTGCACCTTTGGCCCGATTATTGGTCAATGAGAAGAGCAAGAGGCAGGGAGAGAATCACTTAGACATGGCGCCATTCCCTCAACTGTAAAGAGGGTGCATGAGGCCCCCGCATGGCCATCGGACCAAAGTCGTTATCGATTGGCGGCGGTATGACTGTTTTCCGGAATATGCAGGCCAGATGAGTCAACAGAGAGATCTCATGATGTGGATGTTCGCAGGCGGTTTGCGATGGTCCTGCCTTAGTCCTGTTCTAGTCCTGCACCGGATTCGCCCGTGCTATGATTCCCCAATGGTCCTCCTCGTAGGACTCTAAACGGCAGTTTTGCTCGGTGGTCCCCAGGCCAAAGTCAAGGACTCGGAGACCCTGGTACAGTGCGCTTACTCCGATCCTCCGCACTGTCCTCCAGCCGTCAGCCACATTTTGCTGGGGAGTTTTCAGTGTGGTGGCCGCGGTAGAAGAGGCCGGTTTGAACAAGCGCTTTCACCAGGGTCGCCGGTGAGGTCCGAGAATTTCGCAACAGGTGACTTGACGCCTGCCAATAATATGCACCACCCACCTTATGTAAAGAGCATGCAGAAAATAGAAGCAGCCAAGTAGATATGTGGGAGCAGCCTACGCGTCTGGGCGGCGATTACGTTGCTGCTTGGAACACCAATTAATTCAGATGGTGGTGCAGATGCGCGTTTGACTTGCTGAGGAGAGATGATGTTTTGTAGTGACAGTGGCCGTGGTCGCTCCGTCGTCCATTCATTCACTGATCATTCCGTCAACCAGTCAATGCGATCGGCTGTGTTGCGAGAGCGGGAGGTGTGGCTGTGTGGCTTGTCTCCAGCCCAAGTGCCCAGCAGTGCACAAACGCACACAAGAGGGGACCTCGATGAAGTGGAAACCAGGAGCTGCACAGTACCTACGGTACGTATCAGCGGGTCAAACTGGAAAGGGTGTGCTGCTCCCATGGTGGAGGGGGTGTGCGCCTGGGACATTTACCAGGGTCTGATGTCGACACCGAGGGACCCAGATGGCTCTTGTTATAAGACTCGCGATCTGCTTGTGTCCAGGTAACCGCATAACCTTCCAACTGCCTCAGTCCAAGCACAACATCCACCAAGCGCCGCATACTGGAGACTGCCTCTGTGGAACCGACTCTTGTCTGATTCCGCCCTCGATCTCGCCTGTGCTCCCTTTTTCCACTTGAGCTCTAGGCTGCCTCGCACAACCACTGCCGGACGGGGTACCACCACCCCTGCCATTAAGCTTGGAGCTAGAGGTACTCACGAACCAGCTACCCACAGCCTTCCCGTCGACTCTGCCTCCTCGCAAACCCACTACACCTGCCAGGGCATATAATATCTTGCCCTTCCCCTCCTACCTCTTCCTCTCCTGCTCACAATCACTACCATCCATACTACATTATACATTGGTGCCATCACCAATCTTACCTACTGCCTCCAGTGTCTCGTTGGCTTAGGCCTTGCAACACTGTCTTCCCACATTCGCATCGTCGTTGACGGCGACTCCCACTACTCGCAGCCAGAGAGCATAGACTCTCCCTCAAGACCAAGGGTGCAGACATCTTCTCTCCCTCCCATTATTATCCAGAACGAGGGACGCATTCCCCATTCTACACGGCGATCGCGCCGCCATACGTTTACCAGCACACGGCAACTCGACACAATGTGCACCACCAACGTCCAGACCTACCGCTACGCCGACGGCCGAGTCGAAACCGTCAGAGTTCCTCAGCTCTGCCCACACTCGCGACACGGAATCCCCTGCTCCGGCAACGTCCTCATTACACACCCAGAACAGCGCGCCGCCTACCCTGGCCTCTCTGCTTCTGTTCCGTCCATGAGCTCGCAGTACCTGTCTACCACGCCGTTCCCACCAACACCGCCAAGCTACAGCCCTCGCTCCTCTACTCCCAACTACCGATCTGGTGACGAGTCCGACATGTCTGGCAACCGCAGCGGCTCTTCCTCTCGCAGCAACCGACACTCTACCGCTCTCTTCGTCGACGGCCAGCAGGTTTACAATGTCGAGCATGGCCATGGCTCAAGACGGCGACGCTCCTCCTCCCGCCGCGAGCGCTACGAGCTCGGCACACCACCATCGCCTCAGTCGGGATCCAGCTCGCAGCGCCCGATTGTTATAAACCAGAGTGGGCGCATTGAGGTTCCAGAGGACCGCGGCCACCGCCACGGCCGCCACTCCTCGACAAGCTCACATGGGTCACACGGCTCACATGGCAGCTACCGCTCTCACGACGATGAGGAGCGCGAGGCCCAGGCTGCCCGCAACCGTGAGCGAAGGAAGCGCGAGGTCGAGCAGGCCGAGCGCCAGCTCAAGCAGAAGAGACCCGACTTCCACAACCGAGTTGAGCGTGCCAATGCCACGATTGCCAGCCGACCCGCCATTCCCTCTCCCCCTCGACAGTCAAAGCACGCCACTCCCTACCACCCAGACGAGCTCGTCAATTCCTTCAGCGGTCTTGGTATCCAGGAACCATCTTCCGGACGAAAGTCGCGTCGCAGGCACGAGCAAGAGCAGGCGATTGAAGATGAGCTGCAGGAGCAGCGCCTGAGGGATCGCCTGTCCCACCGACGGACTGTCAGCTCTGGCAGCAGCCGGCGGCACCGCATCCTTTACGATGACGGCAGCTACCGTTGGGAGTAACTGTCCCTAAAAGAAAAGTCTAAAAAAAAAAAGCGTTTTGTGTTTCTTCTTCTTTTTTTGCGATGTATCAATTGGCTTTGCTGTACTCTAAGCTGTTTTTTGTTTCTTCCCCATTTGATCAATGGGCTATTTTTATCGGGGTTTTATTGGGTACTACAGAACCTGGCAATCGGGATTGGGCAATGGAACAGGAATATCGCCGTGATTGGCATGGAATGTACGCGGCGACGCTTGGCTATTTATTTTGTTTATATACCAGCAGCAAGCTTATGATTTGAGAGCGACGTGCGATGATTTACTGATTTTTTATTTTTTGAGACACCAATGAAGAAAAATAACGTTGTTCTTTCTCAGACATTGATTCATATCTTACGATTTGTGACCCACCATCTTGCGCCATGTCTCTCTCCCGCCTCAACATCCACACTTTAATCACTAGCTAGGTACACCATAAGATGAGAATGCAGAGGAAGCTACCCATCAACTTGGACTTATTCTTGTCCGTGCGGCAAATCCATCAGCTGAAGTGATGGCAAGGGCGCGCGATGATGGGGGGACATTGATGGATCTTCCAAACCCACAACGCCGTCAAATGTCGGAAGTGTTTGACTCACTCGTTCTGACTGATGACATCCATGCATACATGCATACCTACAGTAGGTACCACTTACACAACCGGCCTGGGACACAGATCTAACATCCAGCTAAGTTTCGGCCCCCACTGCAGCCTGGTGCAAGCACTGCGACCGCGTCCACAGCGGTCTCTTCTCCCCCCCCTTGCCAATGCCCCTCCCCATCCCTCTCACTTGAGAATCTCAATTCTCCCACTTGCTGTCCTTGCTCGCTGCCTCTTGTCCCGCATCGGGCCCACCCGCGCTATCAAACGCCAAGGGAAACCCTGGACGGCTGGTCGATGTGGGCAGCCCACGGGGACAGAGACTGGTCGACTGGTGTGCAAACCCGGCCGAAAGAGCATTAGGGCGATGGGATGGAGGCGGGAGGACATCCTGGTCTGGGGATCTGGCTGAAAATGAGGCCAGTTTGTGGTCTTCTCGTTCGGTTTCGAGATGGGCTGAAATGACATGCACGGTGAGCGGCCGCGAGGTAGAGAAATTTTTTCTTCTAGTATGAGAGAATTTTTTTGGGGGTTATTGCACTTCTTCTCATTGATGGTAAACTACCTATGCGCAGGGGGGTGGGATGGGATTATTTCCTAGACTGGGATGATGGAACGGGATGTCGTACATGAAGGTAAAGGGCAAAGAAGAGAAATGATAGCTGGGGGACACCAGTGATGGATTGGCGATGGGTGATTTGCTGGCTTCATGTGGGTGCTGCTGTTGCCTGGCAGGGTGGAGCGGGCAGCGTGAAGTGGAAGAATTACGTGGGGTGGTGATTGAGAGTCAATCTCGACAAGAGTCCGAGGGCTTGGTGTTGGAGGTTGTATCGGGTACGGCATATGCCTAATTGACGAGACAATCCGGCATGTCTGGTCTTGGTCCCCAGGTATCTCTACTCGACGCTGCCAAGACCGTTGACGACGGCATGTGCCTTTCCTTGCTTTCTTTGGAGGGGAGCTAAAGGCTTGGTGATACGAGGCTTCCTCATGCATGTCTCTGTCTATCCGTGTCTTGTGTGTCTGCTCCGTGCGTGTGTCTGTGTCCGCCGTCGTCCCGGGACCGTCTGCCGTCCGCTGGGCCAGCGCTGTGTCTGTCCGTGTACCTCGAGCACACCGGTTTCTGAGTGGTGCAGCGTGTATCCGGCTAGATCTATCCGCACGTATCGCCTGTACCTACATGTTGTTGTCTGTGGCTGTGGTTGCGTGCGTTTTCCTGCCAGCATGCTGCCACGCCATTGGAGAAGCCCATCCAGTCTCAGATACGCTGCGACCTGTCACTCACTCACTCTATGCTGTGGGTGGTTGTGTCGTCGCCAGGTATCCATCTCGCTCTCCATCGACCCTGCATGCCTCACATAGCAGACCTGAGTACGTATACTCAGTTGACCGACAGTTGCTGCTGCTACCTCCCTCCATGCAGGCGACCTATCATTGCTCGGCCGCCCGATGGCGAGCAGAGGGTGTGATTCTATTCTGTCGCCATGTACAAGTCCAGTCCAGACCCATCCAGCGAGTCCACTCTCGACGCACTGATCCATTGATTCAATGCTCCATTCGCGATCTTCTCTTCTCCATCCCCCACCGCCCGGCCTATGTGACTCTGCAGCCATGGACGGCAACGGGCGTGTCTGTACACATCGACGCACTCGCACATCGCAAGGGCGCGCGCACTCACACTCAACCTCCCATCCCCATCGACACGCCCCGCCAAGGCACACTCCACACCACCCACGGCCAGTCATCCGCACTGATCTGCTGACGCTCGCCCTGGTATCTTCTGGACCCTTCCGGGATTTTACTATTGGTCACGATGGGCGCCCTTTTCGTGTTCAGTCATGTCCATCTACTGCGACTTTCGTCATTGCCATGGCAATCACTCAGTTCCCCCAGTCCATCGACAGACCTCACCACCCTTGTTTACGTGCGCATTGGGGGGGGAATCTCACGTATTCGCGCAGGCGAATGCGCGCCCACCGATTACACAAGCCTCGCCTAATACAGGAAAAATTGCTTGAAAGCTGGGGTTCCAGACCTGTAGGTGTTCCGTCGGCTGGTGGGATAAGGTGCTTAGATGGTGGTCACCATCAAACCGGTGCTGGCCCGGTAAAGTGACCAACGTGCAATACCTTGGACAAGGACCCAGAGCCGACTCCCACGCTTATCCCCATGCCCCCCCGAGATCGCTGCCAGACCGAAAGCCAAATGCCGTATTACATGCAGTGAGCCTACCTATTTGCAGTCCCGTTCTATATATGTAAACAGCAAGGTACGGCTTATATTCAGTCCAGTAAGCACACTCCATGTGTTGTGACTAATCCTTGAATTTTTTTTCCACCTCGAGGTTTGGCGGAGTGATGCTATCCAATCTGGTGTGCACTTTGCCACGCTTGGAAGCACGACTGGTCTTCTTCTGGGTTGGGGTGGGCGTAGAGATTGTTGAGATCCAGCCACAACAAGCTATGTGTCGATAAGCCAAGTATCACAGGTGCAGATACATGTACGCAAATACCCACCATGATACAGAGCCTTGCGAGCTTCAAGAACCTATTGGGGGTGGGATAGCGTGCTCGACACTGAGACAGCTGCCACCCCTTAGCTGGACACAGATCCTGTATTTCTTGATTTCTAGTAGACTACAGTCAACTTAGCTTGCTTCTGATTTTCACGTTACCCAAAATTATCCTTGAACGACAACACCCTCTCTCATGGCAATGGGACGATACTACCCAACAACACGGCATCCAACGGGCACGTGAGGAAAGAGAGGGCCCCCTTCTGAGACATCGAATCACAAGATTGTGCATGAAGTTCCACTGGTATTTTCGGTGAATGTGGGACATCTCGTTGGGCTTACTACGCATCTGCTCTCCGAATCATATGTGCAGGCAATCTTGATTGGGAGGAGGGGGGGCTTCCTGAGTATGCATGTACGCCTGCTTACCCTTTGAGACCCGACTGGTTGCTACGGCTGGTTTGATAAGACTTGAATCCAATTATGATGTAAGTAGCGTATCGTAATAGTTAAGCGAAGTGTCATCTTTGCCCCTGTGTGTGCTCAAACACTGCCTTCCTGACGCCCAAGACCTTCTCGGTGCTCTTGTCAGTGGCCACCTCGCTATCTATCTCAGCTACTGACCTTCTTCCCGGGCTTTCCGGTAGTTAATACGTTGGATAAGGACATACCGTGGGGTGCAAAAAGTTTCGAGTCACACGGGTCACTATCTCGTAGTGTACGTCCATCAAAATAATAACATTCTATATTATCAATGCACAAGGCTAGTACGCGCATTCTTCATTACATTCATCGATTCAGAAGTAAACGGAGAATAAAATGCATTAAGATTAATCCACTTAAATATAGAGAAGCATTTTGGTGGCTATTCCCTGTGCATGGGAAATATGTTTGATACTCAGAGTGATCTTGGGATGCTTTGGAATTTCTTGCAACCCATGGTACATCACGAAATCACCCACATTGATAGGTTGAGGGTTGTGTGAACAATGTTGAGTAGGATTTTCCGTATTGCCCAAAGTATCTTGACCTGCTTTCACTCGTCATAGACTCATATGATAACAGGGACTGTAAAGGTGTTCCAATCCCAGATTTCCAATATAGGCCACGATATTGATAGATACTAGTTAATAAGACTAATAATAAAATATTAAGTAATGATTAGGCAATATCACCTACCTACTATTAAACATTAGGAAGCATTACTATGTGGCTGGCTGTTACAATAATTTTATCGAGTTGACCTTGCACTCCCTTTTTTTTCTGGCAACCACTTCCCGCAAGAGGTTGGCACATACGTGGCCATAAACTCAACCACAGATGCAGGAGAAGCGAGCACTTATGCATGGCTACACGTATCATTGAGCTTCTTAATTTACACATCGCCACTGGGGCTATCGCGATGAAACAAGGAGATACTGCTGATATTGAGATTCTATACGCAAGAGAAATGATAATGCATTGTGATGAAATAGAGAGACCTTGGTATTTACATTGCTAAAGCAGTTACGAAGTAGACGCGTAAACTTAGTTACTTGTACCGATACATGAATCAGTAGCCTACATACGTTGCTTCAAGGTCATATACTATGGCCCCGGCTTACTGTAGCTCTTTGAGTCCATAGTTACTAAGAGGTCGAGAAACGAGACATTTGGGTGATAGATATCTGATTTTATCAAACAAATAAAATTTCTTCATTCTTATAATTGACAGCATGAGACGAGTTTGTTTTATAGTAAGGAGTTGACTGCCAGGAGGTCGCTAATCCTAGAATTGAGTCTTTATCTCAACGCAATGCTCGAAGAGTCCAAGGAGAACGGTTTCAAGTTTTCGAGTTGGCGTCTTCCTTAGATGGAAATAACTCTTTT